CGCCACTGCCCATAAGGTAGATTCCAAAGAGCCGTGAGATTACTAATCTTATCATCATTATAATTCTCTTTAATTCATTCTTTAATTAGTTTTAAATTTAAGTATTGTTTCTTTCTACTTGAATTAAAATGTTGAGTGCCTAGCGCTGAGGGATGGGCGAACGAACAGAGGAGGTTCTGAGGTATATGGGGCGTTCCATACCAAAACGGACGGGGTTCACAGTTCATACGTTTGATTTGTTTCAATTTTTTAGGATTGATGCATAAACATAAATAATAAATAAACATGAAATTTGAGCTTGATTAATACATTTCTTTATGTACACCGCTCAGGCCAATTTCTGCCTCAACCAACGTACCATGCTACAAACTCTCCAAATTTATAGGGAAATCGATTCCCACGAATACAATGTCAACAATTGGTTCCAACTTAAAGACAGATTAAAAAACCTTAGGATTGAAGAAGGCGAAATCCTTATTTCATTTGACGTGGTATCCCTATTTACGAATATACCAGTAAAATAATATAATGTATAATAAATAATTGTAATTGGAGTTCCTCAGGGAAGCCACCTTGATCCGATTCTGTTCCTGATACTCATTAATGATATTTCTTCTATAATAAAACATTCAAAAATTTTAATGTATGCCGATGATGTGAAACTTTTTAAAACATTGTCCTCTATCGAAGAAAGGTCTTTGGTACAAGCGGATCTGAGCAACGTGGTTTGTTGGTGTAATGCAAACTATATGCCACTAAACCTTCAAAAATGTAAAGTTATGTGTTTCTCTCGGAGGGCTGTTCAACCAGCCGTTTATTCAATATCAAATTATAATCTGGAGCAGGTATCCAATTTTGTCGATCTTGGTATCACAATGGATTCCAAACTCAATTTCAACCATCATATTAATGTTACAGTCAATAAAGCCAAAGACGTTCTTGCATTTGTAAAGCGATGGCCAAAAGAGCTCAAAGATCCTTATGTTACAAAAGCTCTTTTTACCACTTTAGTTAGACCTATACTAGAATACGAATGTATTGTTTGGAATCCCCGCTACCAAGTTCATTCAGAGAGGATTGAATCAATTCAAAAACAATTCTTGCTTTTTGCGTTGCGTGACTTTAACTGGGATTCAGATTACAATCTGTTTCCACTACTCTGAAATCTGAAAAATTCTTAATTCGCAACGCAGCAAAATACAATTCACCACTGAAGCAGACGACGGAAACAAGTTACCTTCCTAGATGTAGAAATTCACCGTTTAAATAACATAATAAAAACGAATTGGTATGCGAAATCTGTAGCATCCTCCAGAATGATCAGTTATCATTCCAACCATCCGTGGGCGCAAAAGAAATAAATAAAATAAAAAAAAGGTTTTAATATACCACGCTTTTATAAATGGACTAAAAATTATAAAATAATATTTCTCAGTCCCATAGAACTTATTTTGATAACTTTTGATTTTGAAATTTTAGTAAAAGTATAAACCATTTATGAGATTGAAAATGAAAAGCGTGGGACGGATGTAATAGACCTGAATTGATATGAAGGGTAATATATTTCATATCTATCTCAACCCGAAACTACATACAAACAACAAAAGGTACACAGGCATCACAGATTAAAGGACAGTAAAACAATACAGAAAAGCATCCAAAACAAAGCACATAAAGGGAGGTAAAATAACACAAACGGCAATAACGCAAATTTGTGTTATTTAACAATTGAATGTAAAATATCAAAAATTTGCTTTATTTCATTTCTCGTTTAGCAATAAGACCAACTTTTAAACTTAACAATTGAGTAATAAAGCAAAATAGTGCACATAGGTAGTCACCAAGTTACATTTGACATAAAGTAGTACATGAACAAGTTAAACCGCGTTCGAGGTCGCACTCGCGCTCGCGTCACCCGCCGCCTCCCTTCCTTTCGTAATTATTAACTGGTGGCATTATAACCGTTCAAAAAAAAAGAGTAATAATAAAATTACACTAGTTCACTTCTGAAACTGCTTTTCAATGTCCAAGTAATGGCAATTATTCCATATGGTGTTATTGTCAGCACCCCCGCCATGGTGGAATTATACCAGGTGAAGTAATATTAGAGAGAGAAGAAAGATTTTTTTATTTAAAAATTTGCCTACAAAATGTGACTATAAGGCAGCCGAATGTCAGAAAATAAAGCGAGCAAGCTGTTTTATTACTTCACCTCATGATAAAAATATTTTTATCATGCTTCACCTGTTTATTACGCCATTCATCCCACCTACTTGTACCGAGTATATGTTCAAATTTAGAAGTCTGAGAGTAGGTAAAATTTTACATATTTTTACATCACTATTTCGTACCACATGTTCGCTCCGTCTTCGTAAGCGAAATACACAGTTCGGATACAGGAACAGGAACCGCAACTGTTGTTTGTTCCACGCCATGGCGGGATTATACCATGATGCAATAATACAAGGTGATCTAAGTTGTGACAGCTCGATTTGATACTGCCTTAGCTCAGTAGAATAAGAAGAAATACGGGAAGAAATTAATCCCGATTTGGGGGAAAAATATAAAATTTTATATTTTCTTCTAAACAAAATTTGCTATTTTATAGTAATTCGTAATGAAATTAAATAAAATAAGATAAAATACCTGTTTAAGAAAACAAAATGTGTATACTGAGAAAAAATAGAAACATTCAACTATATTATTAGGCAAAGAATTGTTTAAGAAGTAACACTGATTCACCTAAGGCAGTCAATATGGCGGAAATAGAGCGAGAAGCTGCCAGCCGATAACACCTTGTATTATTGCATCATGGAATTATACCAGGTGAAGTAATTAGAGCGAGGAGAAAGAAGTAGACACTTCCTTATCAGTGTTGCCGCAACGTCATGAAAAAATGTATCGTAAAAGAAACAAAATATGGATCAAATGTATCACATATTTTTTATTTAAGTATCAAAGTATCAATTTCGAAAAAACTTAAAAAAATGCTATTGGTTTCATACCTTTGCTTATTATTATTATAATTTTTGTGTTTTTGTATTAGATTTATACATAGTAAAAGGAAAGTCGAGATTTTTTGTACGCGGTAATCTCGAAAACTACTGAACGGATTTTGATTTTATCTAATTTACTCTGTACCGACAGGAGAGGGATCTTTTTTTACTTAGAATTTTAATAGGGTTGCTACCTATCTAAAATACTATAAGATCCGCACCGTTCGTTGGATTACAAAAGATGAGGTGTCAAATGAAATGGCTTGGCCTCTAGAAAAGCACTAATATTTGTTTTTGAATAGGATGGCCACCTGTTAATAAAATTAACATATTCAATCATAATAAGCGTAGGCATCAGTTCTGTACCGTCACTACCAAATGAAAAGACTTCGAAAAACCATGTAATTCGCATTCATATACATACATATCGAGGGCTTAAATTCAATACCCTCGATCTGCAATTTTCACAAAATAATGTACAACAGGAGAACAGACGAGCAGAAGTACACTGCGATATAAAGAAGTGTGTATAAGAAGTGTGTGTTTTTTGTTATATTTTCTTTTTTTTATGGTTAATGTAAGTTATGTTTTTCAGCAAAAAGTTGTTAGACCAACGAATTATTATTGTTATATTTTTTTATATGCATACATGTGTCCCTGATTTTTTGTTTTTTATGTTTTGTTTTTAATAAACACCCGACTCCCTGAGGAAGATGTGAAAAACATCGAAACGTCTAGGAGGAAAAAGAAACATTGTTTGCTTTTTATTTAACCGGTCGAGGAGCTCATTAAACTACCCCACAGAAAATTTAAAAATTGGTCCTAGAGACATAAAAATTTAAATTAAACTTATTAAGCAGGTGGCAACCCTTTTTAAACACCTCAAAAATATTCTTAATGTTCAAACTAATGGTTTCATAACACTATTTGGTTTGATATATACTAATACTTCATTGTGTATAAGTTAACTAAATTCGGGCAGGTGCCAATCCCCTTTAAAATATATATAAACTACTTCTTAATCAACTATTTTCCTCTGGCATCCATATGATGATATGTATTTCTATTACCTCAACCATTTCGATTGATACCTGTAATAATCGGTTTACCTTATTAAATAATTTGAATTACATTTTTTAAAAGGTGGCAACTTTTCTCGAAAAGAAGAAACCTTGTTGCACATCTACAGCCTGAACCCTTTAATTTTACACCTCATTTTTAAAAATCGAACGAACGGTGCAGATCTGATGACCTGGACAAAAAATCCCTTCGCGTATTATATATGTAGATTTTAGACTGGAAGTTCGATTCTAAAACATTTTTTATCTACGAGTATTTACTTAGTGCCTAGGATTTATACTAACTTTTTTACATTTCAGGTTTATAAACACACATTCGGTTGCGCGTGAGATATGCGGGAACACAGACACACAACACCTCGCCGACGCGGGCCAATGTTTCCTCTACCGGCTCCACGAGGGGAACATTATGGAGAGCAATCGGAAGTATCGGAGTCTCCATATTACACCATTGATAATACGGAGGATATTTACGGAACCACGCTTTTGCCATCGCAACGTTGCTATGTGGATCCATGGGATTTGGAAAATTACGACTACGTCAGAAAGTAAGTTCAGATCTTTATTGCAGTAGACACCTATTTATACGAAGACATTGAGGTATATAGTAAACAAAAAAAAATTAGGTGCATTTTCACTCGAATGTTTCCCTTCGTGTTTTCAGGAAACTAAGCTCCACGCCAGTACGTTCTTCGCCTGAGCCTTACTATGATACGTCGTTGTCGACTAGTCCCTATTACATGATGACATCTTCGCCGCAAGAGCTGCATGAGGAAGTTCGACTGGCCCCATCACAACGTCTAGCTGCCACTATACCACGAAATAGGGATCGCTCCCACTGGAACGAGACATGTCATCTAGACTGCTGCATTTCACCAGTGTCAATGCAGCGTCGTCGCTACGAAGATACTCGCAGTGACCTATATGGCGTGGGTCACGGAAAATATGAGGATTACATGTCGCATATGATGACAAGCTTAGAAGCGGAAGAAGATGTATATACTGGTTATGGTGGTAAATACAACATGATCCTTTTTAAATACATGCATACGTATGTATGTTAAGATATGTGTTCATAAATCATAGGTGTCTCTTCGTCCTCCTCCACTGAAGTGCACAGCTCCATCGACGAGGAACATACTCAAGCATCAGCAATGGCAGTGAACAAAACTTCCGGCTATAATACCACAATGCGACGACGCAGTGGTCCTGCATGTGAAAAACCTGCTCCATATTTGGAGTTTCCAGCCCCTCCATCTCTACCTCCCCCACCCCTCACTTTTGACTACTCCAAACCTTCTGCAGCCTCACCGTATTATAGCTCAGCAGATTGTTTGGATTGCTCAATGATCTATGCCACCTCTCCTTCGATTTACGGTTACATAGATCGGAGTTATAAAGGAAGTACCATTTATGGTAGTACCATAGGGCGGAGACCGTCTTCGTCGCTCTGCAGCGGAATATATGGACATAAATTTGGGTTGAGCAAAAAAGGACTTTTGCAAATCGACTATTCGTGCAGTTGGAATGATCTAGATCGCATTATTGGCCGTCACTACTGAAGAAAATTATCATCCTGAGTTGAATCACTCACTTATTTATATTTGAACAGTATACTTTATATCGTTTTTGTTGTAAAATTACATAACACATCTTCATATATGTATGTTTATTATTTAGTCACACAATACCAAAAGAAATAAAAAATTATTAGTCCAAAATTAATAATCGTTATGTCACCGGTAATATATCCCCTTCATGCTGCGCCTAAGCAGTACCTACACCAACCTGAAAATTTCTGGCATTCCATTCTAAATTGGGATGGCTGCGATTAATCATCTGATTAAATTAAAAATATTTTCAAGAAATATGAATTCTGTATTTGTCTAAAATCCATCCATCCAACATTATTTTTTGCTAGCTGCATCAACTTTAGTCGGCCCGAGTTTCAAAAAAAGTCATTTCAAAGATCCGTTAGCATTGGCCTATGGATAATAGAAAATGAGTTCGATCATTAGGCCCTCCTAAATCTCTTGTGCAATAACGATGGCGAAAGATGATGATTTGGAATATTTATGAGGGAAGTTTTAGAGCTCTGGCGGTGAAATTTTCGTCGCATAACACTGTGCTCAGGATTTGAACTTTTTTGCTGGGGAAAGGTTCCGATAGCTGATCTTACTTAATTGGGATCTTCTTAATTCAATACCGTGCCCTATTTTTCCAGATTAGCTCCATTTTTTGAGATAACCGTACTTGAAACCTTGCTTCAATTTAAATTTTTTGTTAATAATTCCTTCAGTTTTAAAGTTATTTTACAAAAATTTGCTAAAAAAATACACGTGACTGTCTTTCGACGTTACCTTAACTATTTCTAAAAATCGTCGAAATCGGTTCACTACAACATAGAGCTCCCATACAATTGATTGTTCAGATATGTGGTTTTGCGTTATAGCTCATATATTATTTCGTAATATTTTCTAATTTTATTAGGTTGTACACTATTTGAATTCCTTTCTGGCAAATTTTTGGATATTTTGACAGTTTCTATTGTGCGAATGGGTTTTTAATATTTTTCTTGTGCTGTGAAAGCTGTTGTTCGTTAATGTAAAAGTGACTGGGTAATACTATCCAATAAGTGGCGGTCCATACCGCGTCATATTTGACATAAGTTGGCAAGACAAACAACACAAACCGAAACCCTACGCGCACGATTGCTGTCGGATTTATTTAAAAAAAAATAAATCATCGAAAAAGTTTCGAAAACTTTTTTTCATTATATCATTGCCTTCGGAAACTCCTAAAGATTAAAAAAATGAAGAAGCCTTGCTATAACTTAAACAACATATGTTTCCTTAGTGGTAATTCCATATGCTACACAATCCATTATGAGACTCGATTCGTTAAAAAACGATTGAATTCACTATTGGCGGACTTTTGCTGGTCGATCGCAGCAGGCAAATGATATTAAAAAACATTCATGCAATAGAAACTGCCACAAGTAATTTTTAAGCAAAAAAACAAATCCGACTTCAATTCTCATATAAGAAATTAAGAGTACTGTCAATTTATTTTCATGATCCAATGATCGGACCTAAACCAAATTACTATGGGACTACCTCTGAGGTACCAGTTAAAAAAATAATTATAGAAATCGGTTAACGTGGTCCAAGGTTATGCGGTAACAAACATAAAAAATACTATTCCGACGAATTGATTAACTTTTTTTTGCAGTCGTTTAACGATATATCAGAGTGGGATTGAAAACAACCTAAATTCAGGACCAAATAGTGTACAGCCTAATAAAATTAAGAAATATTACGAAATAAAATATGAGTTATAACGCAAAACCACATATCCGAGCAATCAGTTGTATGGGAGGTATATGTTATAGTGAACCGATTTCGACGATTTTAAAATAGTTTATTATTATTTATAAATAGTTAGGTAATATCAAAAAACGACGACGTGCGAAATTTTGTTAAAATAACTTTAAAACGGAGGGAATTATTAACAAAAAAAATTAAAGTTTAAGCAAATTTTCAAATGCCGTTATCGCAAAAACTGGAGCTTATCTGGATAAACGACGGGCTTCATCGAACTAAGAAGCTCCCAATTAAGTAAGATCAGCTATCAAAACCTTTGTTCAGAAAACCAGTTCAAAACCTCAGCACAGTGTTATAAGTGACGAAAATTTCACCGTCAGAGCTCTAAGGCTTTCCTCCTAAGTAATCTAGACACCAAAATTAAGTTAACGTGTTTGGTAGCCAGTGTTGCCACAAATAAAAATACCAAATTCCTCAAAAACAAACGAAAAATCCTCAAAATCCGAACAAATTACTCAAAATGTTCTTATTACAGATATGAGTATTGTTTACTGCATACTATTTACAGGTACTTAGTATAAAAATAAATTACATTCTCTAATTCAATTGGTATATTTGTCTTTGTGGTTCAAACAAAGTATAACCGTTATTTCTTATGCTTCGGTTTGTATATAATATTGCTGCAACTATATCAGTGCTCAATCTGGTCCTCAAGTCAGTCCTACACAATTTTAAACCGCTAAATATACGTTCTACTGAATCATTAGACAAGGGCTATATTAGTAACGCAGATATAATTTTTTTTTATTGAGAATCTTATATGAACCTGAAGAATCTTTTAATTCAAAAACTTTTCCTATAATTTTCTGCATCTAATGAGGAATCAATAAGAATATCCTTAAGATTGAACAATGGGCGTTCTCCCCATTCTTTACCGAGATTTTGCAAGTTTAAAATAATAATCGATAACATTTTGAATATTTAGCAGTATATACAGATGTGCCAGAGATAGAAAAACACCACACAAGCGGCTTGACAAACCAAGCGAAATATTCATTTCCTTAAAGCTATTTATGTTGTGTATGGGGGTGTTTGAAGGTTTGACAAGTCGTTTGAGGAAAATGTGAACAAAAATCAAATTTTTTTGATTTTCTGACCGCCATGTTGACATTTGATCAAACCGCTTACGTTGTGTATGATAAATCGTCGCATTAGCAACGGAATGAGGACGCGAGAGAGAAAAATCGAAGAAACCCAAACCCTTTTACATTGTGAACCGGAAGAAAACTAAAATTCTTTGCTTGAACGAGTCATGTTTGCATGGTGCATGGCTAAATGGGAAAAGTAGGTTTGAAGAATGTTTGACAAGCCACTTGTGTGGTGTATTTCGCTCTTTATAAAACTTCGGAAAGCTTTTTGTTCTAAAATTTGCAAAACGATTTAACAACTATCTTGTGTAAAACATGGCTGCATTTGTTATCTGCAAATATATCGAGAGAAAATTCCTCAAAATGAAAATCCTCAAAAAATACTCAAGCGCCCCCGAAATTCCCGACGTTTTGAGGAATTACTCACAAAGTGGCAACACTGTTAGTAGCTGTGATATTTCAAAAGTTTAAAATTTATCTACAGTGTAATTATCACCGCTAAAAATTCTCGTTTTATTTTATTTCAGGCTAATTAACAAGATAATTAGAAATTCGTTATAGAAAGGTGTTTTTGTGAATACTCACTGTAAAAAAGTGCCTTTAAAAATTCGATTAATCGATTATTTCTCAATAATCGCAATTAATTGCAATTTGTAATGTTTATCTAATTACTGTCAGGGGTGGCAACCCGGGTTGTAATAGACGAAATGGCAGTCCTAGTTGTAATCGCAGCAAATATGACTCACTTCCGATTGTACTTTTCACTAGAGCTGTCGAAACTTCGACGTACTGGCGCCTATTATGAGTTGCATTCGAACTTCGACTGTGGTCGAAAGTGCTGATCGAACGAATTTTCATTTGGTATTATGGCGCTCATTCGATGAATTGTGAATTTGCTCGTTTAGGTTGTTCACAATAGTATATTTTTCACCGCTCAGAAGCTTTGTTTACAAATCGAGCAAACTAAATAGTGTGCTTATACATATGTACATATGTAATTTTGTACAAATTAAAGTGAAATAAAAAAGAAAGTGAGTTAAGAAAAACGTAAGAATTAGTACAACGGAGTTCTGGTTCATCGATTCGTCCGAGGACGAGAGCTTAGAAAACTGGCCAGGACCAGAAAATGTTTAAGTGTAGTCTTTCCAATATATTTTGGCATACAATATATTTAAGAAATCGGCCGCTGTGGTGTAGTGGTAAGTAGTGCGCGCTGCCACACCGCTGAGCCTGGGTTCAAGCCCTGTTCAAAGCCACATCGCAAAAAAAAATTTAGAAAAAAGGTTTTTTCTTAACAGCGGTCGTCCCTCGGCAGGCAATGGCAAACCTCCGAGTGTATTTGTGCCATGAAAAACAGCTTCTCATTAAAATACAATCGCCGTTCGGAGTCGGCGTAAAACTGTAGGACCCTCCGCTTTGTGTGACAACTTCAAGGCGCACGCCACAATTTGGAGGAGAAGCTCGGCCAAACACTAACATATGTGTAAGCGCCAATCTATTATTATTATTATATTTAAGAAATTTTGTGATCCACATCTTTTTAAAATACATTAAAACTCTAAACAGCTCTATGATTTTGTTCTCAGATATCGTGCCAACAGAGTATTGGGATTTTCTTTCACAAGAAAACCAGCCTTTCGAGCTTGTGTTTAGTATTCACGACGTTAGAGCTGCTTGAAATTAATAATAAAAAATTAAAATTAGTGTCTAGCCGCCAAAAAGTAAGAAAATAAATGCGAAATCATAAATTTTTCACAATTTTCTAACACTTCGCTACACCATCGAGAGCAAAATTCTGTTCGACAGAAAATTCGATACTCAACAAAAATTTCGACACGCTTGCTTAGCTTATAATACGAATTTCACTTTCGATCTTCGATAGCCAGCGAAGATCGAATATCGAATGCAACTCATAATAAGGGCCACTAATTAAAATCGACGTTTAATAAAGGCATTGCCAAGTACACTATAATATTCAGGTGTGGGGTTTACCCAAAAAGTAGCAAGACACCAATTTGCATAAAAATTTTGTTGAAAAAAAAAACGCCAGTTCAAAATGGCTCCTCGACGAGTATGGTCGTGTTGACCTGTCGAGTACTTTTAAAGCAAATATTGGATTAATATACACAGAAATAATGAAGTCGTTTCATTAAATATAACATATAAAGTTTTAATTCAAGTGAAGATAATACTTTAAA